GGCCATTAATGTACCTCCACTACGTTTTGCAGTGTGGACCAACGTAGTGGGGGTACATTTTCCCATGAGACTGGGTTGAGGAGGGAGGGGAGCCATGACTGACTGGACCTTCTGTGTTTTCAGCTTCACTCAGAGACTAAATGGCTTCCAGGTTAGAGGAGGATCTCTGCTGTCCGGTCTGTCAGGACGTCTTTAAAGATCCAGTTGTTCTGTCATGTAGCCACAGCTTCTGTAAGGAGTGTCTGAAGAACTGGTGGAGACAGAAACCAGTTAAAGAGTGTCCAGTTTGTAAGAGGAGATCTTCAAGGGCTGAACCACCATTAAATCTTACTCTGAAAAATCTGTGTGAGACCTTCTTACAGCAGAGAGAGCAGAGAGCTTCAGAGGATCTCTGTAGTCTGCACTATGAGAAACTCAAACTCTTCTGTCTGGACCATCAGCAGCCAGTGTGTGTCGTCTGCAGAGATTCAGAAAAACACAACGAGCACAGATTCAGACCTATTTATGAAGCTGCTCAGCAACACAAGAAGAAACTTCAGGAAACTCTGGAAGCCTTGAAAAAGAAGCTGGAGCTCAGGAAGAAAGTTCAAGAGGAGTTTGATCAGACAGCAGAACACATGAAGGTCCAGGCCCGACACACAGAGAGGCTGATTAAGGAGCAGTTTAAGAAGCTTCATCAGTTTCTAGCAGAGGAAGAGGAGGCCAGGCTGGCTGCACTGAGGGAGGAAGAGGAGCAGAAGAGAGGGATGATAAAGAAGAAAATGGAGGCTCTGATCAGAGAGATAGCAGCTCTTTCAGACACAATCAGAGCCACAGAGGAGGAGCTGAGAGCTGAAGACGTCTCATTCCTGCACAACTACAAGGCTGCAGTTGAAAGAGTCCAGTGCTGCCCCCTGCTGGAGGATCCACAGCTGCCCTCAGGAGCTCTGGTAGGCCAGGCCAAACATCTGGGCAACCTGGCCTTCAACATCTGGAGCAACATGAAGAACATGGTGTCCTACACTCCTCTCATCCTGGACCCAAACACTGCTGGTTCAAGACTCATCCTGTCTGAAGATCTGACCAGCGGGACTGTCGGAGAGAAACAGAAGCTCCCTGATAATCCAGAGAGGTTTGGATCTTGGTCTTGTTCTGTCCTGAGTTCTGAGGGCTTTAACTCAGGGAACCACAGCTGGGTTGTTGATGTTGGAGACAGTGGATTCTGGAGTCTTGGTGTGTTAGAAGAGTCTGTTCAGAGGAAGGGGGATATAGAGTCTGGAAGGTTGGTTATATGGTTTAATGAAGGTAAATTCAAGGCATGGTCTCCACCATCTCCTCCCAAATGTCTCTCAGTTCAGAAGAAGTTCCAGAGGATCAGAGTGAATCTGGACTGGGACAGAGGAAAGCTGTCCTTCTCTGATCTGGACACTAACACACACATACACACCTTCACACACACCTTCACTGACAAGATGTTTCCATACTTCAACACTGTAGGTAAAGTAAACATCTTACCTATGAAGATCTCAGTGAGCA